GCCTTTGACTTCAGTGAAGTTAAGATTTGGCCCAAAGAGTTTAAACCTTGAAAGTCCAGTTCTCTAGGTGCTATAAGTACTCGCAGTGCTGGTATTGTGGTCCTGGAGCTGTCCCATCCCCCAGGCATCAGAGAAGGCTCCCACAGTCTCTCCTAACATCTCCTTCACTCACCCTTGTCTTCAAGTCTTCTTCCTTGCTACCTCTTATACTCAGAGCTCCCTTCCTACATAAAAGAGCCAATCAGCTACCCTTTTCTTATTCAAACCTACACTTAAAACATAGTTGTCCTTGAAAACTATGACTAATCCACCAAAGTAAAAATGTTTAACCTAATCTGAGATCTGATGTTCACCTTGTACTATGTTCATCCTCTGTACTATGTGTTTAAATTACACTATTTAGAGAGTGAACTCCCAGGGGCAGGAACTATGTTTTTCTCACACAATGATAGTGTCTGGATTATATGTATTGATGACATAAAAGAGAGGTATTAGGGTTGTTTACTTACCTAAAGTAATGATAGTCCTTGCGAACCAGGCTGAAAAGGAATGATATAAATGAGAGAGAGATGCAGAAAAATACCACTCAAGAAGGAGGTCCTGTACACAGAAGATATCAATCCAATCACACTGCATATTTAAGCAATAATAAACAGACAGAAATGCTCTGGGTTTGACAATGCCATACCATTTCTAATTGACTTGTCAATGCCTTCATTTAAATGACCATACTGAGTTGTGTTTGATGCTTCAGTACAAGATAGAGAGGTCTTCTGTCATACACTTGTGTTTTCTAATGTTTCTAGAGTCACTTTGATGGCAACATTGAATTCAGGGACATCCATTTTGTATACCCTACAAGACCAGAAGCTCAAGTTTTGCAAGGACTCAGCGTGAAGGTTAATAAAGGACAGACGCTAGCCTTGGTGGGGAGCAGTGGTTGTGGCAAAAGCACATCCATTCAGCTGCTGGAGAGATTTTATGACCCTATGGCCGGACAAGTGGTAAGAAGAGATTTGTGAAGCTGTTAATGCTTAGAGCTTATAGAACAGTTCTTCAAAGTATTTTACAAACATTAAATCATCTGCACAACACCCCTTTGAGGTGCGTAAGTGTTTTTATGGGTCCGGGTAGGTAGAGAAGACTTGGGACTTGCTTAAGGTAGAGTCAGGAGTAGAACTTTGGGTCTTCTGACTACCATCCTGGCTTTAGATCACTAGATTGCATCTCTTTGTTGATTTACTTAATATATTGGAGGGGGCATAAGAATATACTTCCCATAATGTAACCCTTGTCCCTAGTCCTGTAGTCATGTTAACATGATGCAATTTGAGGTCTAATTCATCACTTGATGGGACTTTTATGCAAGTCCTATTAATGATGATGGGAGATCCAAGACGAATAGCCTAGAGATGGTGAGTCAAAAGATGTTTGAATAAATGCCCAAAGATGTGGATTCTTATTGGAGCTCTTCAACCGTCTAGGTCTAAGAAGCTCATGAACAGACTTTCTCATGAGATCTCTGGTACCTGCCATCATCAGTAAAGATGGAAATTCTGTATGCAGATCTCGTTATAGATTGGCAATTCCACATCTACTATGGAGCTAGCAGAGCAGACGTGCACAAAAAAAAAAATAACTTCTGAGAGGAAAAGGTTATCTGAGCTTCTTTAGAATTTTCAGAGTTTTGGTTCAGTTCAATTTTGGATGAAAGAGCCGGTCATCTATTCTTTGACCAGAAGTGGTTCACTGACCACTTTACTTTTACTGTAACTCTTATACAGGTCAGAGGATTTGTACAG